TAGATTGCACTAACTCATACGTATCCCAAGGACCTAAGAAGGTATACAAAAAGATTTGGTGCTAGAGAGGACTACATAAATCTATACTGTTGAAAATGTTTCGTTTGTGAGTTAGTCTCCTAAAAGACACTAAATTTACCTTTCGTATTTTTTTCCAACAACCACAACACATGGAAGTATTGGAAGAAGAGCTTCATGATTCTGTCTATATTCTTTTGTGGTTTGTAAAAATGCTTACAAAATGTCTACTTTGAGACTACGCTGTCGCGGTCATTATTCTATACCTACAATATCCCAAAGGCTACTTAAATTTTTAAACTCCATTTTATGACCGTATTTTTTTGTATATGGATAAATTTGCTTCTGTGGTTAATATACGTTAATTCAGGTAATGTTATATGTAGCTGCAACCATTGGACAAAGAAAACCGATTGGATCAAGACACTTTGTACCTTGGCAAGGAATGTAGGTTTTGTGTAGGAAATACGTCCAGCTCAGAATTGGGACTGTCTTACGTGCAGGAAATGACAGACTCGTCGAGTATGCAAGAAGTCAAAAATTTCAGTTACAGTTAAAACACAATACCCCTAAATTTGCGCTCCGTTAAGGGGTAGGTACCTAGTCCTCATTTTGCATCATTGATCTAATAAAGGGAGCTTATCAATAGAAGTAGATCCACAATCGACTACCTAGGGTTCTTTAGGTTTACACCATGTAATGACATACCTACCCTTATGGTTAGGCAACACACCTTACATTTGAAAGAGTCGCACTATGGCAAAATACGAAACGCTCTGTTTGCACAACAGCCATATATGAAGAAGTAAAAAGCAGAAATAGTATTGCAAAAATGAAGCCGGAGTACGATCAAGAACAAAAGTACGAAATTCTTAGAAGATCTAAAAGGCAGAGCTAATAATACCAAGAAGAATGTTTAAAATGGTAGCAGAAAAATGAATTTCAATGAAAAACTCGTTACGAATAATGAAGAATTCGATTTGAAGATAAAGTAGGTGAGATAAACGTGGAATGGATACTGGTTCTGTAATCGTACATGGAAAAGAACCATTTCGACTTTGACCGTTCTGCACCGATGCGGGGGAACAGGGATTTTCCATAACGAAGATTGACAAGGAAGTTAGCGTCAGATAAAAGTATTCGAATCCGAACTGAGTTTGAGTAACGACGCGTCTAGCGTTTGTTTAACCATTGAATTTCATGTCACAATTTGTTATTAAACTATGAACCACGTACCTATTACTTGGGTATCAGAGGTTGAACCGGAACCGGAAAGAACCGCGATATCATTTATAAGCACCTGACTTGGAACCGGAAATTAAAAAAGTTATAATAACCGGAATCGATACCGGTACCGTTATTATTGCCAAAGAACCGTATTTTTCGCTTCTCTCTCTCTTGTAATTATTTAGAATAGACACATTACGCTTTATATTGTTGCTTTTAACATTTGCTTCTGAAGTGTTGATGTTAAAAACCTTTATTAAACATTACTCAATGTGCTTAAAATCTTAAAACTACCGGTAACGGAAATGGATACCCAAAGAAATACGAACTACCGATCAAATCTCATCCATTCCTACATTAAAGCAAACCGTTACCGGTAGTTTTCAGATTGTAAGTTTTGTCGCCATTTGGTTATCAAATTTTTGTAAAGCCGAACTTTTAGGGCCTGATCATGGCTTGTTAGCCGAAACATCGCCTTAGCCTTATTTTTCATCATCAAATTTTTGAATAAATTGAATTTTATGGGGAAGGTTTTAAGTTCTTAACGTGAATTATCATAATATCGACTGAAATCGTTAATTTTTTGTTATTTTTGACATTTTCAACTAACTACATACCTATTTACCAAATTAGATGTCTCACTAGCAGGCGGGGGACACTTTCTGACCTGAAGGACCAATCTTCAAATGAGTATAACTATGACTATCGGATCAAGCATTCTTTATATTTAACTTGTGGCGCGCTGTACCTAGTGCCTATGGCGTGGGCGCCGTCCTCAGTCATATAGAATCAATATGTTAGAAAGGTCCATAATGCTTAGCTTCCGGCACGCTATCATATAGAGAGAAACACTCTAGTAACTTTTAGAAAGGGAGGTCTTGATTTTTTATTTAAACATTTTCATAAATTTGTGTTTGGGCGTAAATTTACGTTAGTGAGTTATCATCACCGCGTATGAGGTTATACATCTTTGTCATTCAATGGCATTTGGGTTAGAGGGCATATGGGTATCTAGTTTTATACAAACCGCAGGCGGTTATATAAGAATGATAGTAGTATGTTATAGCCGTTTCTAAATATGACCTTGAGATTACTAAAAGGGCATTGCCTTCGTTTCGGGTCGGTAAACTTGTGCTTAAAGTGTATTAACCTTCGTGTCGTGTCGTTTAAACTCGTGCTGCTTAAAGTGTATTAACCTCAATATGGCATTGACCTTTATTGTGGTTTAAATTGTCCGTGAGAATGACCTTTTCTATTTAAAGGTCGTTCACCTTAAAGGCACTGACCTTTTGATAAAAGGTTATTGACCTCGTTGTCTGTTCTTAAACCCTTTAGCTTAATGGTTTTGATCTCCGCTAATTGCGCATAGTGGGGCGCAGTAATTATATAGCCCACTCGTCGTGTAGATCAAATAATCATGGCATGGCTAGCGTATGCTGAGCAATCGTGGATCAAGGCGATAGATTTTGTAACAGCGGTAGAACGCCTTAAGCAAAAGTTTTCGGCGTTAGTATTTGACGCCGAACATGAAGCAATATATGGCAATGGTGAATATAGTGAGGAGGAGTGTCTGGCCATCGCTAAAAAATACGAGTTGGGCGAAGAAATATGTGAGAGTTATTTAAACAGTAAAATATGTGAAAAATGTGTAGTAGTACGCAGATTGATAAAGGCCAATTTAGAACAGTTTATTAGTGAGTTAAGTGATTGGACTGAAAATGAAGAAGAGAGTTACAATTGACGAAACACGGAATCAAGTGTACATAATGGTAGCGTGGTCGTTTGCTTACGGTAAAGCACGAAGAGGTTCGTGGGAAACAGTCGCGCTCGATAGATTTCGTTTCCGAAATAAAATCGAACAACTTAGTAGAGTTTTGTCTTCGGTATTAGAGAAAAGTCATCGGGACAAAGTCTATCGTGAACGACTCGCCTCCCCTCCACAACGTTAGCAATATAAGTGTAACTGCAGTAGTGCTTAAAATCATTCCGACAGCGTGTACGCGAACTGGTTAAAATGGATCTTGATACACTCAACAATACCACTTTCTGCAAGCCGTTCAAAAATGTAAAAGACCTGGAGGTGGGGGAGAAATATCGAATCGTCGGCATCGACACAATCAACACAAAATATGGTGACCGGGTAGTCGTGGAGACTGGAAACTTTAAATCTATGCTTCCCTTACGTTTCTACAACTACTTTAAGGAGGATAATCGTTTACAAACATTCCAAGCCTCCTTAGCCAATAAAGAGGTATACATAACAAGTGCTGGATCTGCAGGGCAAACGACTAACTTAAAGTTTATGTAAATAAAATATTTGTGTATTAGAAATGTAAATAAACATGGTATATATAAAAAGGAACGGATTCGTTTTATTTCTTTCTAGAAGGCTTCAGTAGATATTTCCGTTTCCTGTTTCAAGGTCCGAGCACACAAGGTAAACGGTTAGAGAATGGCCTATTCTGGACCACTCTTATTGATTTTTTATCGATTTTTGAAGCGCTATCCTGATTTATTGATTGATTATCGATTTCGGAGGCAACATGCAAACTCACTGTCCTTGTGTTATTGGTGATTGTCAATTTTGGGGGCATAGATATGTGTCTGTTGTGTGTTATTGATTTTAGGGCGTGTGTATAGCGGAATGGTATGTTTCCTCCTCGTGTTAATGGGAACTGAACTCGGGACATTCGCGCCATTTTAGTGGGAGTGTGTCATTGACCACTTTGACTGCAATTGTTGGAGAAGCAGGACTTCTGGAGCTAAAGTTTGATGTCTTCAAAATACGGTAGTGTAATTGACTACAATTGTGAGTTAATAGCCTGGAAAGCTAACCTTGAGCTCTCACGATGCTTACCGAATGCCTTCGGAACTTTTTGTGTTAGAGGGGCCATAGCGAATAGCTAGGGCTCTCTTGTATACCTACAGGATTTTGTTACTGTGGAAGTTCGTCGGTGTTGCAATCGGAGCTCTACGTCGCAATCTTTTAATCTGTATGAATAAGGCTGTCAACTCAGATTGGCCGCTAGTGTTGTGGGTATTGATCTAAGAGGGAAGCGACCTCTGAAATTAAAAGGTTGTTGGTCTCAAAGTATGAGACAATAGTGTTAAGTGTCATTGATCTCTATTCTGAGTCAATAGCCTCGAAAACTAAATGTCGTTATCCTCAAGTTGGATAGCATTGGCCTCTAATGGAAGTCAGTGTTCTCTAGCGCTGCAGGTGGTTAACCTTGATCGGTAGCCGTAATATGTTGGACGTCATTGAACTCTAGGTGTGAGCCACTGCCGCTAAATGTCGTTAACGTCAAAGGATCGACAGCTCAATACTATGCGGTCGATTGCAAATGTGCTAGTGGTGGGGACTGTATGTGTTAAGAATAATATTAAGAAACCGTTTGTGGATAGTATATTTCAAACAATCGCGGAGACATCAGACAAGAATCGTGCGCCGCAATCTATCGCTGCAAATATTCGAACTCTCGCAGTAGAGTTTCAAACGTAGTTACTTTAGGATCAGTCCTGACAGAGTTTCAAACCTAGTTACCTTTCTGGTGACTTTTTGATTTAGAATCGATCCTATATAACGAGAGATGGAGGACTCTCAGACTTTGCAATCGATACAAAGCTCAATTACAACACACATAAACAGTTTTCCCCAAGCATTCGATCTCCTTAAAATGAAATTAGTTGACACTAGTTTAAGTAAACTGCGAATACTAGAACATATTATAATCCAACACGACAAATTTGTGAGGAATGCTAGAGTTATATTAATTTAGCTAGTGACGTACATCCAAACTTTCCAAAAATATGATAGTGAAATCGCACTAATATAAAATCCCTAGAAAAGTTACTGGAGGACCGACTCTAAATCACACTTAACTAACGCCCTTAGAACAAAAAAGTACTAGAATTGAATGTCAAATGCCAAATGGGAGGCTAAAAAGTCATTGACAAGAACCCCAGCCTGCAATCGAAATCAAACTGGTACTTTCGAAAAATACGTTAGTGATGATTAATTTCGGACCTAGCGCAATGCATTTTCAGGTGGTCTAGAATAGAACTCACTAGTTTGATCATCATTGCAGCAGTCAGTTGGAGGGTTATAAAAACACACAAAAATGTTGTTTATTTTCAAACAAATATCCACACAAAATTTTGGAATGCTCTACCTCGTAAAGGAAATTTTCGACACACGATCCACAAGTGCCGCTTCGCAATAGTTCTGGTTCTGCAAAAACTGCTATTAGAATAAACTTTTAAAAAAATTTTCAGTCACCTTTTTATAATTATACCCAAACGTTTGCCCAAACGCGTCGGTTGCAAAAATGTTTCATTGACCGGACATACGAGGTTGAAATTTAATCCCTTATTCACCAAAAGGAGTCCGCAATTGTCCGCCCCATCGCCGCCTGGCCGTAGTTCCAAAATTCGTATTTAAACATTCTAGAAGAAAAATTAGTTAGTTAATGTGGCACGCAATTGATGATGGAGTGATGTTTAGAATGAAGGAAAATTTAAAAATGCAGATTTTCCCACCAATTAGCCCAGCCTTGAAAAATGGAGAGCTTACGTTTATAAAGCCAGTTTGAAACGCTACAGGCTACTTAGCAATTTGAAGTTTTTGTAAAATTCCCTTTCCTAGCAAATAGCCAGTTAACAGCAGATTGAAAAAAGTTCGCAATGAACATTCCATTGAAAAATGTCGGTCGCTTAATAATTTGCGTTTGGTAGTCTTTATGCAAATAAATGTCCATCGTAACTAAATTGTGAACTCCCTTACGTGATAATTATACACTTCTAAAGAAGCTGAATGTGCATACCTGGTACGTCTGTTAACGCCGTTCACACTGAAGAATTCCATAGAAAAGGCTTATGTAGGTATGGATGTTTTTTATAGGGATTCGATCCGTATATTTCCACTGGCGGCCCCTTAATAAAATCGTAGGCGTAGGTATGAAATTAGAAAAAAGAAAAATATGTAATATCGTATACAGTCCGATTTGAAGAGCTTATTTATTACCTTTGCTAATGCATGACTCCTTATTTGCCAAAAATCCCAAACGACATATTTATAATCCAAATTGTTTCACAAATGCACAAATTTATTTCGCCCATCGTATGTACTGTCGCGAGAGCGCGGTAACGACTCCTCTCTTTTTTAGATGACGCAATGAAATCTTAAGATAATGCATTGCGGTTCCACGTAATCTGCATAAATGTAGGCATTATGTGCAGTAGGAAAACTCGTAATACGAGGGATGTCCAAATTTTTACAAACAGCGCGAGCCATGCCTGCAATTAACTAACTAATTGGCCACTTTCCGCTGTCGATACAAAGATACTGCATTGAACCGTACATCTAAAGTTAAGGGATCCCAAATTGCGCATTTTTCCTAATTCATAATAACACACGAGTACATTTTTTCGATATTTCAGTATGTACCTAAGCATACCTACGTATTAGGTACACCACCATGATTTTCGTGTTTGAACCGTTGGATAAGTGGTTTCTCGAATGGCAGGATAAATTTATGGTAGACCTCTTTTTTTGCAAACACACGCTGCTAAAAAGTACCTCTAGTGTTCACCCTTCGCCCCGTAAGCTGAACCAACTAAATTACTAAACAATTGCATCAGTTGACGTTGACATCATACGCGGTACCTTAAAAGTGGGGATAAAACGTATGGGTTATGTATCTGTGTATCCCACATGAAGAGGGTACCTACCTACAAAAGTATCATATGCCGAAAAACCGATAGTAAAATGCACGATATCTTTTATATCGAAGTTGGGATACATTAGTGCCGTATATGTATGTGCATTTATTGTATGCGGATCGTTCGATACAGTATACATTTTTTTTTTCTAAGTGTAAGCTTAATTTATGGCATTCAACGTTACTAATCATGTTTTCACGTATTAGTCACGGCCAAACTTCAAATTACGGTTGATGGGAACTTTTACGGTAAAGTTTTATAAATCGTATCGAAATAACAGTGGAGGCATGCTATTTAAAGAACTGGAAACGGAAGAGGTAACAGGTGAAGAGATTGAGGCTGTGGCAATACATGAGCTCTTAATTTTTGAAAGCTGTGATAATTCCATCAACACTTCCGAGGGCTTCTTTTTGCGTAGAGGAACCCGCGCCACCTGATTTTGTTGGCGTTGATGCAAGTCCTTTGGAAAATATTGTAAATATCTGAGGTAGTTCCCATATAACCAGCGCCAATCATCGCGGTCTACCGCTTTCAACGTAGGAGTTGGAAATATAGGCTGTAGCGATGCTTTCTATCAGTCCAGTAGTAGTTCTCGAAACAGTTGGTGAATCAGTAGCAGAAAACTGGTTATCGATATTGAGGTTCAAGGATTTAAAACATACAAAACGTCATTTACTCCAAAGGATTTAGCGGTATTTAATGGGCACCAACTTGCAGATTTTATGTTCAAACCTCCGTTTTCATTTAGCAGCTTAGATGTGAGCTACCAGAGAGAGAGAGAAGCAATCTGGCCGATTAAATGGGAAGAAGGACATACGCAGGCACACTTATTTTCAACTATAGTGCGCCTGCTGGTATCACCAATGGACGCTACATATGTCAAGGGAAAGGAGAAGGTAGAATTTATACGAAAAACCTTATCGCAGGATGTCCTCGAGATCAACGAGAAACCTGCACTACCTAAATTACAATCCAACTGTTTATATCATTCCCATTCTCAATGTCATTGTGCATTGTCAAACGTGTACTACATACATAACAATCTTACAATGACATAATTTTTTACTAAATAAAGCGGAAAAAGTATATAACATTTATTCTTTCTCTTAATACCTGTAACCGACAGCAAACCTTAAGAATTACAGTTTTTTGGGCAGCAGAGTTCTTAGTGACCATCGGCCTCCCAAGAAGAGAGAGATAAGCATCTTTTTTGAGACGGAAGCGTGTTAAGTTTGATCCAGGTAAAATCCTGGTTTGCTGCAATTATGGGGATTTAGTGAGCAACCCGTTCAATTTATATTAATTCTGTTTTACCAGGTAATGAAGACCTAGTTAACTATGTACAATCCCTTATCGACTGTTGTTCTTGCCGCTTACACTACGAACACTTCGAAATCTAGTTCAAGAAATTTTTGACGTTTGACTGCTTTCCTTTTAAGCCCTGTACCTATGACTCCGTTGACTTGAATTTTAAAAAGTCTTTAAAATCAACAATATACTTACGTGATGCTATATGAGAATGATTGTAACTCTTTGCTAGTACTCACTAATTATTTATAGACGAGTGCATAAATGATTGTAGGCTATATATATATCAGGGTTCAGTGGAAGAACAATCTCTGGAGATTGAACTGCGCCCTGAGGTTATCTTATAGCAAGTAAGATAATAAAGGCCATTATTATTATTATTCTTATTATTTAAATTTTGATCACTCTTTTACAGGATGTTTTAGCTGTTAAGCTGGATTCACATGCATACGAAATCCGACGATACTGTTTTCCGAAAGGCGTATGATTGGTCAACAATTTCAAATGTCATGAGGGGAGCGAAAGCCGCATGACAGACTCATTCGACGATGCCGAGGGAAAATTCTCAGTAGAAGAAGTACAAATCCAGTCGCACGTCACGATCGTCCACATCGCACCACAGCAGGAAAACTGCCTGTGATAAATACAAAGACTTCGTGATGGCAGTTCCGGCCAAGCACGTATAACCTGATTAACCCGGACATTCATCTTAGCGGGGAGGAGTGATATAAACCATTGAAATAAAAGACTAAGGAAGGAGCTTATGTAGCATTAGCCAGGACCCTATAGGCTTCTCAATATGGCGGACGTTCCTACGCACAGTGGCGTAAATACATAAATAATAAAATAATTTAGTATATTTAATTTTTTTGGCGGATAGTACTGAAATTACATACATTTTACTACATACAGATTCATTACTTCTTTGATAAACAAAATCCATCTCGCCATTCACTGTCTAAAGGAAATGTGAAAAATAGATGTACCTATTTCAATATGTTGTTTTACGCCTATTCCTACGGCAATGTATCACAACCAGTAAAATGAATGAAATTAAGTATCGTGAAAGAAGACCATTTAAGAAATACTAACATAGTTATCACCTATGAAATGTCATTTTCGTTTCTTCTATAGCTTTTGACTTTGTTATATTACACGATTTACAGCTAACCATTGTGTTTCATTTTATCGTAAATGTCAATTAATTGTCAAATTCGGCCATATTGAGAAGCCTAATTGAATCCCGACAAGCATACGTTATATGAATGTAACCCTCCTTCCTTAGTCTTTTATTTCAATGATATAAACACACGGTAACACAAGGCGGCTTTGATTTTGGCAGACAGTTCTATTTTTATGTCAAACGTTTAAACACGCATTTTCGTTTTTCTTAAATAATAAAGTATTCTAAACTATCTTAATTTACGAATACTTCAAGTTTCAGCACATTAGTTCTTGAATCTCAACTTGTTAGAGAAATTAATTTTGATCAAGTGCTAACAACCTTTGCTAATATAAGAAAATCCGAAGAGTTAAATTGTAATGTGTTTTTGGTGAACTGGAACAGGTAGTTGGGTAACAGGTAACAGGTAAACTGGTGTAACTGGTTAACAGGTAACAGGTTTCTCAATAAAAGCTCTTTAGATTAACAGCTGTTCAATTAGAAAGCTGTTTCATTTGAAAAACGGAAACAATAAATACGTTTTCACTGCATCATAAAATATATAATGATCTTTTCTGAAACGACCATTTTGCACTTACAAATCTTCGCGACAGATAACCGTAAGGTATTGACGATCCATCTGGAGCAAAACATCTTTTTGTAGAATTTGCGCGGTAGATTTCAGTAAATGTCGTTTGTTAAAACATTGTTTTCTCAACTTTGACGATATCAATAGGGGCTTTATCACCTTTCCAGTGCTTATTGTTTCCGTTTTTCAAATGAAACAGCTTTCTAATTGAACAGCTGTTAATCTAAAGAGCTTTTATTGAGAAACCTGTTACCTGTTAACCAGTTACACCAGTTTACCTGTTACCTGTTACCCAACTACCTGTTCCAGTTCACCAAAAACACATTACAATTTAACTCTTCGGATTTTCTTATATTAGCAAAGGTTGTTAGCACTTGATCAAAATTAATTTCTCTAACAAGTTGAGATTCAAGAACTAATGTGCTGAAACTTGAAGTATTCGTAAATTAAGATAGTTTAGAATACTTTATTATTTAAGAAAAACGAAAATGCGTGTTTAAACGTTTGACATAAAAATAGAACTGTCTGCCAAAATCAAAGCCGCCTTGTGTTACCGTGTGTTTATATCATTGAAATAAAAGACTAAGGAAGGAGGGTTACATTCATATAACGTATGCTTGTCGGGATTCAATTAGGCTTCTCAATATGGCCGAATTTGACAATTAATTGACATTTACGATAAAATGAAACACAATGGTTAGCTGTAAATCGTGTAATATAACAAAGTCAAAAGCTATAGAAGAAACGAAAATGACATTTCATAGGTGATAACTATGTTAGTATTTCTTAAATGGTCTTCTTTCACGATACTTAATTTCATTCATTTTACTGGTTGTGATACATTGCCGTAGGAATAGGCGTAAAACAACATATTGAAATAGGTACATCTATTTTTCACATTTCCTTTAGACAGTGAATGGCGAGATGGATTTTGTTTATCAAAGAAGTAATGAATCTGTATGTAGTAAAATGTATGTAATTTCAGTACTATCCGCCAAAAAAATTAAATATACTAAATTATTTTATTATTTATGTATTTACGCCACTGTGCGTAGGAACGTCCGCCATATTGAGAAGCCTATAGGGTCCTGGCTAATGCTACATAAGCTCCTTCCTTAGTCTTTTATTTCAATGGTTTATATCACTCCTCCCCGCTAAGATGAATGTCCGGGTTAATCAGGTTATACGTGCTTGGCCGGAACTGCCATCACGAAGTCTTTGTATTTATCACAGGCAGTTTTCCTGCTGTGGTGCGATGTGGACGATCGTGACGTGCGACTGGATTTGTACTTCTTCTACTGAGAATTTTCCCTCGGCATCGTCGAATGAGTCTGTCATGCGGCTTTCGCTCCCCTCATGACATTTGAAATTGTTGACCAATCATACGCCTTTCGGAAAACAGTATCGTCGGATTTCGTATGCATGTGAATCCAGCTTAACAGCTAAAACATCCTGTAAAAGAGTGATCAAAATTTAAATAATAAGAATAATAATAATAATGGCCTTTATTATCTTACTTGCTATAAGATAACCTCAGGGCGCAGTTCAATCTCCAGAGATTGTTCTTCCACTGAACCCTGATATATATATAGCCTACAATCATTTATGCACTCGTCTATAAATAATTAGTGAGTACTAGCAAAGAGTTACAATCATTCTCATATAGCATCACGTAAGTATATTGTTGATTTTAAAGACTTTTTAAAATTCAAGTCAACGGAGTCATAGGTACAGGGCTTAAAAGGAAAGCAGTCAAACGTCAAAAATTTCTTGAACTAGATTTCGAAGTGTTCGTAGTGTAAGCGGCAAGAACAACAGTCGATAAGGGATTGTACATAGTTAACTAGGTCTTCATTACCTGGTAAAACAGAATTAATATAAATTGAACGGGTTGCTCACTAAATCCCCATAATTGCAGCAAACCAGGATTTTACCTGGATCAAACTTAACACGCTTCCGTCTCAAAAAAGATGCTTATCTCTCTCTTCTTGGGAGGCCGATGGTCACTAAGAACTCTGCTGCCCAAAAAACTGTAATTCTTAAGGTTTGCTGTCGGTTACAGGTATTAAGAGAAAGAATAAATGTTATATACTTTTTCCGCTTTATTTAGTAAAAAATTATGTCATTGTAAGATTGTTATGTATGTAGTACACGTTTGACAATGCACAATGACATTGAGAATGGGAATGATATAAACAGTTGGATTGTAATTTAGGTAGTGCAGGTTTCTCGTTGATCTCGAGGACATCCTGCGATAAGGTTTTTCGTATAAATTCTACCTTCTCCTTTCCCTTGACATATGTAGCGTCCATTGGTGATACCAGCAGGCGCACTATAGTTGAAAATAAGTGTGCCTGCGTATGTCCTTCTTCCCATTTAATCGGCCAGATTGCTTCTCTCTCTCTCTGGTAGCTCACATCTAAGCTGCTAAATGAAAACGGAGGTTTGAACATAAAATCTGCAAGTTGGTGCCCATTAAATACCGCTAAATCCTTTGGAGTAAATGACGTTTTGTATGTTTTAAATCCTTGAACCTCAATATCGATAACCAGTTTTCTGCTACTGATTCACCAACTGTTTCGAGAACTACTACTGGACTGATAGAAAGCATCGCTACAGCCTATATTTCCAACTCCTACGTTGAAAGCGGTAGACCGCGATGATTGGCGCTGGTTATATGGGAACTACCTCAGATATTTACAATATTTTCCAAAGGACTTGCATCAACGCCAACAAAATCAGGTGGCGCGGGTTCCTCTACGCAAAAAGAAGCCCTCGGAAGTGTTGATGGAATTATCACAGCTTTCAAAAATTAAGAGCTCATGTATTGCCACAGCCTCAATCTCTTCACCTGTTACCTCTTCCGTTTCCAGTTCTTTAAATAGCATGCCTCCACTGTTATTTCGATACGATTTATAAAACTTTACCGTAAAAGTTCCCATCAACCGTAATTTGAAGTTTGGCCGTGACTAATACGTGAAAACATGATTAGTAACGTTGAATGCCATAAATTAAGCTTACACTTAGAAAAAAAAAATGTATACTGTATCGAACGATCCGCATACAATAAATGCACATACATATACGGCACTAATGTATCCCAACTTCGATATAAAAGATATCGTGCATTTTACTATCGGTTTTTCGGCATATGATACTTTTGTAGGTAGGTACCCTCTTCATGTGGGATACACAGATACATAACCCATACGTTTTATCCCCACTTTTAAGGTACATACAACCGCGTATGATGTCAACGTCAACTGATGCAATTGTTTAGTAATTTAGTTGGTTCAGCTTACGGGGCGAAGGGTGAACACTAGAGGTACTTTTTAGCAGCGTGTGTTTGCAAAAAAAGAGGTCTACCATAAATTTATCCTGCCATTCGAGAAACCACTTATCCAACGGTTCAAACACGAAAATCATGGTGGTGTACCTAATACGTATAGGTATGCTTAGGTACATACTGAAATATCGAAAAAATGTACTCGTATGTTATTATGAATTAGGAAAAATGCGCAATTTGGGATCCCTTAACTTTAGATGTACGGTTCAATGCAGTATCTTTGTATCGACAGCGGAAAGTGGCCAATTAGTTAGTTAATTGCAGGCATGGCTCGCGCTGTTTGTAAAAATTTGGACATCCCTCGTATTACGAGTTTTCCTACTGCACATAATGCCTACATTTATGCAGATTACGTGGAACCGCAATGCATTATCTTAAGATTTCATTGCGTCATCTAAAAAAGAGAGGAGTCGTTACCGCGCTCTCGCGACAGTACATACGATGGGCGAAATAAATTTGTGCATTTGTGAAACAATTTGGATTATAAATATGTCGTTTGGGATTTTTGGCAAATAAGGAGTCATGCATTAGCAAAGGTAATAAATAAGCTCTTCAAATCGGACTGTATACGATATTACATATTTTTCTTTTTTCTAATTTCATACCTACGCCTACGATTTTATTAAGGGGCCGCCAGTGGAAATATACGGATCGAATCCCTATAAAAAACATCCATACCTACATAAGCCTTTTCTATGGAATTCTTCAGTGTGAACGGCGTTAACAGACGTACCAGGTATGCACATTCAGCTTCTTTAGAAGTGTATAATTATCACGTAAGGGAGTTCACAATTTAGTTACGATGGACATTTATTTGCATAAAGACTACCAAACGCAAATTATTAAGCGACCGACATTTTTCAATGGAATGTTCATTGCGAACTTTTTTCAATCTGCTGTTAACTGGCTATTTGCTAGGAAAGGGAATTTTACAAAAACTTCAAATTGCTAAGTAGCCTGTAGCGTTTCAAACTGGCTTTATAAACGTAAGCTCTCCATTTTTCAAGGCTGGGCTAATTGGTGGGAAAATCTGCATTTTTAAATTTTCCTTCATTCTAAACATCACTCCATCATCAATTGCGTGCCACATTAACTAACTAATTTTTCTTCTAGAATGTTTAAATACGAATTTTGGAACTACGGCCAGGCGGCGATGGGGCGGACAATTGCGGACTCCTTTTGGTGAATAAGGGATTAAATTTCAACCTCGTATGTCCGGTCAATGAAACATTTTTGCAACCGACGCGTTTGGGCAAACGTTTGGGTATAATTATAAAAAGGTGACTGAAAATTTTTTTAAAAGTTTATTCTAATAGCAGTTTTTGCAGAACCAGAACTATTGCGAAGCGGCACTTGTGGATCGTGTGTCGAAAATTTCCTTTACGAGGTAGAGCATTCCAAAATTTTGTGTGGATATTTGTTTGAAAATAAACAACATTTTTGTGTGTTTTTATAACCCTCCAACTGACTGCTGCAATGATGATCAAACTAGTGAGTTCTATTCTAGACCACCTGAAAATGCATTGCGCTAGGTCCGAAATTAATCATCACTAACGTATTTTTCGAAAGTACCAGTTTGATTTCGATTGCAGGCTGGGGTTCTTGTCAATGACTTTTTAGCCTCCCATTTGGCATTTGACATTCAATTCTAGTACTTTTTTGTTCTAAGGGCGTTAGTTAAGTGTGATTTAGAGTCGGTCCTCCAGTAACTTTTCTAGGGATTTTATATTAGTGCGATTTCACTATCATATTTTTGGAAAGTTTGGATGTACGTCACTAGCTAAATTAATATAACTCTAGCATTCCTCACAAATTTGTCGTGTTGGATTATAATATGTTCTAGTATTCGCAGTTTACTTAAACTAGCGTCAACTAATTTCATTTTAAGGAGATCGAATGCTTGGGGAAAACTGTTTATGTGTGTTGTAATTGAGCTTTGTATCGATTGCAAAGTCTGAGAGTCCTCCATCTCTCGTTATATAGGATCGATTCTAAATCAAAAAGTCACCAGAAAGGTAACTAGGTTTGAAACTCTGTCAGGACTGATCCTAAAGTAACTACGTTTGAAACTCTACTGCGAGAGTTCGAATATTTGCAGCGATAGATTGCGGCGCACGATTCTTGTCTGATGTCTCCGCGATTGTTTGAAATATACTATCCACAAACGGTTTCTTAATATTATTCTTAACACATACAGTCCCCACCACTAGCACATTTGCAATCGACCGCATAGTATTGAGCTGTCGATCCTTTGACGTTAACGACATTTAGCGGCAGTGGCTCACACCTAGAGTTCAATGACGTCCAACATATTACGGCTACCGATCAAGGTTAACCACCTGCAGCGCTAGAGAACACTGACTTCCATTAGAGGCCAATGCTATCCAACTTGAGGATAACGACATTTAGTTTTCGAGGCTATTGACTCAGAATAGAGATCAATGACACTTAACACTATTGTCTCATACTTTGAGACCAACAACCTTTTAATTTCAGAGGTCGCTTCCCTCTTAGATCAATACCCACAACACTAGCGGCCAATCTGAGTTGACAGCCTTATTCATACAGATTAAAAGATTGCGACGTAGAGCTCCGATTGCAACACCGACGAACTTCCACAGTAACAAAATCCTGTAGGTATACAAGAGAGCCCTAGCTATTCGCTATGGCCCCTCTAACACAAAAAGTTCCGAAGGCATTCGGTAAGCATCGTGAGAGCTCAAGGTTAGCTTTCCAGGCTATTAACTCACAATTGTAGTCAATTACACTACCGTATTTTGAAGACATCAAACTTTAGCTCCAGAAGTCCTGCTTCTCCAACAATTGCAGTCAAAGTGGTCAATGACACACTCCCACTAAAATGGCGCGAATGTCCCGAGTTCAGTTCCCATTAACACGAGGAGGAAACATACCATTCCGCTATACACACGCCCTAAAATCAATAACACACAACAGACACATATCTATGCCCCCAAAATTGACAATCACCAATAACACAAGGACAGTGAGTTTGCATGTTGCCTCCGAAATCGATAATCAATCAATAAATCAGGATAGCGCTTCAAAAATCGATAAAAAATCAATAAGAGTGGTCCAGAATAGGCCATTCTCTAACCGTTTACCTTGTGTGCTCGGACCTTGAAACAGGAAACGGAAATATCTACTGAAGCCTTCTAGAAAGAAATAAAACGAATCCGTTCCTTTTTATATATACCATGTTTATTTACATTTCTAATACACAAATATTTTATTTACATAAACTTTAAGTTAGTCGTTTGCCCTGCAGATCCGGCACTTGTTATGTATACCTCTTTATTGGCTAAGGAGGCTTGGAATGTTTGTAAACGATTATCCTCCTTAAAGTAGTTGTAGAAACGTAAGGGAAGCATAGATTTAAAGTTTCCAGTCTCCACGACTACCCGGTCACCATATTTTGTGTTGATTGTGTCGATGCCGACGATTCGATATTTCTCCCCCACCTCCAGGTCTTTTACATTTTTGAACGGCTTGCAGAAAGTGGTATTGTTGAGTGTATCAAGATCCATTTTAACCAGTTCGCGTACACGCTGTCGGAATGATTTTAAGCACTACTGCAGTTACACTTATATTGCTAACGTTGTGGAGGGGAGGCGAGTCGTTCACGATAGACTTTGTCCCGATGACTTTTCTCTAATACCGAAGACAAAACTCTACTAAGTTGTTCGATTTTATTTCGGAAACGAAATCTATCGAGCGCGACTGTTTCCCACGAACCTCTTCGTGCTTTACCGTAAGCAAACGACCACGCTACCATTATGTACACTTGATTCCGTGTTTCGTCAATTGTAACTCTCTTCTTCATTTTCAGTCCAATCACTTAACTCACTAATAAACTGTTCTAAATTGGCCTTTATCAATCTGCGTACTACTACACATTTTTCACATATTTTACTGTTTAAATAACTCTCACATATTTCTTCGCCCAACTCGTATTTTTTAGCGATGGCCAGACACTCCTCCTCACTATATTCACCATTGCCATATATTGCTTCATGTTCGGCGTCAAATACTAACGCCGAAAACTTTTGCTTAAGGCGTTCTACCGCTGTTACAAAATCTATCGCCTTGATCCACGATTGCTCAGCATACGCTAGCCATGCCATGATTATTTGATCTACACGACGAGTGGGCTATATAATTACTGCGCCCCACTATGCGCAATTAGCGGAGATCAAAACCATTAAGCTAAAGGGTTTAAGAACAGACAACGAGGTCAATAACCTTTTATCAAAAGGTCAGTGCCTTTAAGGTGAACGACCTTTAAATAGAAAAGGTCATTCTCACGGACAATTTAAACCACAATAAAGGTCAATGCCATATTGAGGTTAATACACTTTAAGCAGCACGAGTTTAAACGACACGACACGAAGCACAAGTTTACCGACCCGAAACGAAGGCAATGCCCTTTTAGTAATCTCAAGGTCATATTTAGAAACGGCTATAACATACTACTAA